CAAAGAAGAAGTTAAATTATCTTTATTTGCAGATGACATGATACTTTACTTGGAAGAGACAAAAAAAAAAAAAAAAACTCCACCAAGAAGCTACTAGAATTAATACAGAAATTTGGGAGCATAGCAGGATACAAATTCAATACCCAAAAATCAATAGCATTCCTCTACACAGATAATAAACACACTGAGAAGCAAATTATAGAAACAATACCTTTTCCAATAGCACCAAGGAAAATGAAATACCTTGGAATTAATTTAGCTAAAGAAGTCAAAGATCTTTTCAAGGAAAATTATAGTACCATCTTAAAAAAGAGATCATAAAGGATTCCAGAAAATGGAAAGATATTCCATTCTCCTGGATAGAAAGAATCAACATTGTGAAGATGGCCATACTCCCAAAATTGCTGTACAGATTTAATGCAATCCTTGTCAAACTACCACCAAAATACCTCACAGACCTAGCGAAATCATTCCTAAAATTTATTTGGAACCAGAAAAGACCTAGAATAGCAAAGGCAATCCTGGGCAACAAAGACAAGGCAGGAGGCATTACAATTCCTGACTTGAAATTATACTACAAGCCTACTGTAATAAAATCAGCATGGTACTAGCAACAAAATAGACCTGAGGATCAATGGAATAGATTAGAAGATGCTGAAGCCCCTATGAATACACTCAGCCACCTTCACTTTGACAAAGGGGCCAAACATACTCACTGGAAGAAAGATAGCCTCTGTGACAAATGGTGCTGGAAAAACTGGCTCTCTACATGCTGAAAACTAAAACTTGACCCAGGTCTATCACCATGCACTCAGCTAACATCAAAATGGATTAAAGATCTAAACATTAAAGCAGAAACACTAAATCTCCTGGAAGAGAAAGTAGGAGGAACTTGTGAAGATATAGGGATAGGCAAAGAGTTCATGAACATAAATCAAATTGCACAGGAAAAACACTTGAAAGAATTAACAACTGGGACCTCCTCTTATTGAGAAGTTTCTGCACGTGAGAAGAAATTAGCAAGAAAGTGAAAAGACAACCCACAAATTTGGAAAAAATCTTGACAAATAAGTACTCAGACAAAGGTCTGCTCTCTAGAATTTATAAAGAACTAAAAAACACTAGGGCCACAAAATTTAAAGACCCAGTCCAGAAA